CATCGTGCCCGCATCGCCACCTTGCTCAATTGACCCCTGGAGCGACTGGCGCACAGGAGTCCAATGGAACAAAGGATGCATGCCCGAGGACGTCCAGACACGGAAGATCGTCTACAAATGGAAGCGTGGGCCCCCACTTCCTGCTCAAGGTGGGGGTCCCAACTCTGGCCTTCCTGCACGGACGACAAGTTGTCACAACTTATAACAAGAGATTGCGTGCCCGACGGCACCAGCGAGATGGCGTCCAACCCCGCCAAACGCTCGCCCAGGGGAACGGTTTGAGAGCGTCCGGGGAGCCCGCCGAAGCGGGCCCTCAAGGGCCATCCGTCGTCGGCGGTTTCGACCACACTCCACCCGCAACGGGTTGCCTTCAGTCGGGCCTGTCCCTCTACAGGAGGGACATTCAAAAATAGCCAAAAAATAGCCTGGGGACGATTGTTTGACTATTTTTGGGCATCTTTTGAATCTCTTTGGGGTATGTTGTACTTTTCGTCCAAAATCCCCCCGTAAGGGGACGGGCCCGACCTAAGGGTAGCCTCGGGGACCGAGTGGCGACCACCCGCCCCGTCGGCGAAGCGAAACTGACCCCAGGGCCCGTCCGCGAGGCCCCAGGTGAGCACAGGCGGCTCGTCGTAAGTCGGGCGCGTCCCCCTACAGTTACTCCAGATTTCGTAATAAAAGGGAGGAGGTCTGGACCCTCCAAGCCAAGCCATTTCAGACCTCCCCCGTGGGAGAACCCTCCAAAACATCGTCCCCAGACCCCCCCAGGCCCTCAAAGATAGCCTGGAAGAGACCCCCCCCCCCCAAATGAGACCCCCCTCCGTTTATTACGAAATCTGGAATATGTTGTTCTCATCCTACTGAAGGACCGCATCCCAGACATAGTTTCGAGCACCCGGAAACGTGTCAAAAGAGTGTCGAAGCAGTGTCGAAAGAGTGTTGGGCGAGTGTCTCCCAGGGCCCGACTCGTGAAAACCCTTGAGTTTTAATACTTTTCTGGGCGCTCGAAATTCTTCCTGGTGGTCAAGGCTATAGTAGGTTGGAGCATCATAACCCTACAGGGGGATTGTGGGCGAAAACAAAAGAATACTCAAAGAATACCCCCCCCATGGGCAAAAATAGTCAAATAATCGTCCCCCGACTACTTTTTGACTATGTTTGAATATTCCGCCTGTAGAGGGACAAGACCGACTTAAGGCTCGCCCCATGGGGAGGTGGGTGGGATCTAGATGGGGACGGAAGGCACGCCATGGAGGAGAGGACCACATCCCAATCAGGACCCAGACCCGAGGTGCCCTTCTCCCTCAAGGCCTGCCTGTGCTACCAGACGCCCTCAGGGTAGACAACGCGACTGCTGTCATCTTCTCCTGACAGACGGTAGAGGGAAACAACTAGTGAACACCCCCCCGGCCCCCCAAACTCAAAGTTGGCACGCGCGGGGGGAGACTGCGGTCGAGGTGCAACTCATCAGACCCACCACCAACTCTGAATATTGCGGGGAGGGGGAGGCGTTCACAGATAAATGTGGCATGAGTGTTCGCTAATTTTTTCCGAGGTCTGGAAGGGCTTGTTCGCAATCGAGGAATTGGCGGCCTTGCGAACCGCTGTCAGCTCCACGGAACGCGCAGTCGGGCGACCCGCCAGACCCAGCGGCGAGCCCTCGCGCCGGCGGCCAGCCCCCCCAGACCCCAGCGCACGCAGCGAACCCCTGGCGGGCACCAGCTGGGAGAGCCACGATCGAGAGGCGCATCACTCGAGCCCACCAAAGAACTCAGGACCCGAAGCTTCTGGCCAGCGAGAGGGGATTCGGCGCCACAGCCCTCGCTCCACCCAGCCACGAAGGAGCGTTCTCACTTCGCTTGGCCAGACCTCATACAAAGACAGCGGTTCACCAAGATCCAAAACCAGAATGCGAGGTGCCAACATATCCCAGCCTACCCTACGAAGGGACAGAAGCACAGCCGAAGTGGGCCCGATATACACTTTCCACGAGCCCTGAATGGCCATCCAGGCAGCCCAGAGCTGACAGGGAGAAGTTCGGCGATCTACATTCACGCCGGCACGTGGCGCCCAAAGTGGGGTCGTATAGTCGATCCTTTTGCGCGCAAGTGTAAGCAGTGAGGGAGGCCAAGCCGCGCCCCGCACATGCAAGTTCGCCGGCGAAGGATCGTAGCTTCATGAACGTGGAGTCGGCGAGGTTATTGACCCCCGCCCCCTGCCCAGCCGACGGCATGACACCAGAGCGCCACAGAGTCTGAACCATAAGTCTGTTGGCCCGCTCGAGGACCCGAAGCCGCCCCCGCCTCCCAAGCACCATGCCCAACCTCGTCCTTTCGAGGGCTCTGTGGGCGATGCCTCCAGCAAAAGCGCCGTGGCCCAAATTCCTGGCCGCCCAGAATGCCTGGAACTTCAGCCTGCTGGCTCGCGCATTGACAGCGCGAGCTACTGCAGAGGAGGAGGCGAGGTACTCCGACTTAGAGAGGCGGAGGACCAGACCAAGGTCGCTGGTGCCACTCGCGGCAGCACATTAAACACGACCCCAGCGCACCTACCCTGCTGTCCAATCCACTGAAGCGACACATCGCCCATCAAGCCTCTGGGCACCACAACCTCGGACTCCCTTTTGAGCTTCTGCAGGGGCCTCAAGAGCAATACCTGCATCAACGTGGTAGCGTTGGAACACCCCGCAAGAATCTCCTGGAAGGCAACGCGGGAACGGCCGAGGGAGCTAAATGCCTTGATGCGCCGAGGCCGCTGGCAACTGCAAACCAGCAGCACTGTGAAGGTTCATCCCCTAGCACTTGATCATGTCTACAAGGACCATCACGCTCTGGTTACCAGGTTACCAGTATTCCCAGCCACCTCAGTCTCCAAAGTGTGACGCTGGACCTCCCTGGGCCCGAGCCCCACAGGAGCTCGCTGCGATGACGCACCTCCCACTCCACCGGCACCGCCCTCCTCGCCATCCCCCCAACCCTCAGAAGAGCGCGCATGAGTGCAACCAGGCGGTACTCAGCGGGCTTGTCGGCCTTGGGCATGCGCACAAGCTCGGCGGCGACTCGCTCGCGAGGCCTGCACCCAAGCTTCTCGCACTGCATGAATAAACACGCCAAGGGTTGCAGAGCAGCATCGCTCAGATACCACCGGCTGAGGACCGACAGCAGCGTCGGCAGGAAGCTTTCGCACAGCCTCGCGGACCTTTGACTGGGAGATCGGCGGCAGCATCTGCTATGCATCAAAGCCGCTGGGGCTCTCCAGACAGCTGCAATAGCGCTCGGCCCGTATCGAGACCCAGCCATCGAAACAGCCGTCGGCCAGCTGATGCGGCTGCTCGCTGGTAGTTGCCGACTGGAGCGCCCTCGACTTGCTGAAGCGATGAGCGCGGGACGCTCCGTTGACGAAGCTGGCCGATGCCCATGCCTGCCAGCTCTCGGCACGCTCCTTGGCCACAGCCGCTAGGCGTTCCTCACCTCGGTGGATGAGCCAATCTACCACGTGGTGGAAGTGCACCTCCTAGAAGACCAGCAGCCCTAGCCTAAAGAAGTCCAGCGCGCACGGGTCCACGGCCTTGAGCGCCCAGGAGTGGCGCAGCACGCGGGCGGAGAAGCCCCCAGCGTCGTGTCGCGGGACCCCGACCTTGGAGAGGACCTCCGCATGCGGCTGGCCCGCAGCAGCTGGGCTAGGCCGAGGGATGGGTTGCTCGGAGGTGGGGTCATTGCCCCGCTTGACCTCCTGGAGGGCCATTAGACGCCCTCCAGTGGGGTGCCCAACGGAGCGCTCAGACAACGCAAGGATATGTCGCCTCGCGTACGCGTCGAATAGACTGCACCACGCAAGACCATCGGGCCCCCCAGACCACCAGAGCCGACGAGACCAATGGGCCTTGGCGAGTTCAGCTGGGACTCCTGGGCACCTCAATTTAACCAGGCAGGCCCGAGTCTTCTAGCTTAGCCCACATGTAAGACACCCCCCCGCGCCCGCTCTGACACCTCACCTGATGCCCCTCGGGATCCGAGACCAGGACGAGCGGGTCGCACGTGCGAGGAAGCCGAGGACGTTCGACAGCAGGGAAGCCAGCGGCTGCCAGGTGGGCCAACAATCGGCCCTTGTGATGAGCGACAGGCTTGGCAGCCCACCACAACAGAGGCCTCCGTTCAACGACCTTGGAACCCGTCGGGTGACCTCGAGGCCCCCCTTCCTTTCGCGAGCTTGCCCGCGAGCTGGTTGGCCCCGAACGGGGAGCCACGCCACCCCTCTCGCCTGGGCCTGTGGCCGGGACGTACGAGCTGGAACCTGAATCACCTCAATCACCGACAGCCTATTCCCCGCGCCGCGCCCTGCGCGGCACCTTGCTACTTTCGCGCGCCGCACGTCCAATCTCGGCGCGAAGCACACGCGCTCCACCGCGGCGCGAAGCGCACGCCTGAACATCGTCACGGCCGATGTCCTGAACCCTATTCCAGACACGGACCCGACCTTCAGAATGAGGGCGAGTGGCTTTGCCCGTCGCCTCGGGGGCCGCAGCACATCCGTCGGCCACCGCCTGCAATCGGTCACGATTTCTCCTCCTCCTCCTCGTCCTCCTCGTCCCCCTCCTCCTCCTCCTCCTCCTCCTCCTCCTCCTCCCTCCTCCTCCCTTTTCTCCGGGGAGGGGGAGGGCAGAGGGAGGAGCGCGCGCCGGAGACGACGACGACGACGACGACGACGACGACGACGACGACGTCGTCGACGACGACGACGACGTCGTCGACGACGACGACGACGACCACGACCACGACGACGACGACGACGACGACGACGACGACGACAAAGGACTCTACCGTAACGGTCGTCCCGGCGCGACCTGACGCCCTGCCAGAGCGGGGCCCCAGGAGGTGCAGACACAGGGGCGGTGCGACACCAGCACTTACGCCGTCGACCGACCGGCCCTCCGCTGGACTCCGCCGAGGCCGAGGTGCACCAGGGGCGAGGCCCTCCCCGAGGGCTCGGCGCGTGGGCGCCTGCAGCTCCGCCTTCAGGGCGCGGACCGGCCACGCGGAGTAGTCCTCCATCGCGCCGGCGCGGCGCGGCGCGGCGCGGCGCGCCTTCGGGCCGCGAAGAGCGCGCGCACGGGGGGAGTGAGCGAGAGCACGTAGAGGCCTCCCACAGTGGGTCCAAGTAGATGACGTCGAAAGGCCCCGCCGCATCGCCGACGTGTCGCCGATGAATCGGTGATGCATCGGGGCGACACCGGCGATGCATCGGCAACGTCGGCGTGGAGAAGGTCGGGCTCCACATCGAGCCACGTCGGCGATGTCGGCGATGCGGCGCGATCCTCCGACACCATCTGCTCGGAGCCCAGCTGGGAGGCCTGGAGGATGGCAGCAGACGCCAGCCGTGTCCAAAGCTCCAGCGCGCTGGACAGAGCAAATGCCAAGAGTTCTCGCCGAGTTGGGCCTCCCCCGCGCCCCAAGGCCGCCGAGAAACGCCTCGGGCCGCAAAGCGGGCCCTGGGGGAAGGGTGGAGGCGGGAAGCCCGTTGTCAAATCATCTGAAGTCCCTCCAGCCCATTTTTTGTTTTCAATCGAATAATTTATGTATCTGTACGTCTCATGTAGATGGGTCATTGGAAGAGGTGGTCGAAGGATTCAGGACTTGCAGCTGAAGACCAACTGTAAGGCCTGGACCGTCTCCCTCTGCCACAAGCCCCTCCCTGCCCTGCTCGGGGGAAGGGCTCACCCCGCACGTCGGACCCATCCCAACCGACCGGTGCCAATTGCAGTCGACTTGGCCACTTGTCAACGAGCCAAAAAACCAACCGGTATCAATCACAACCGTTCATTCTGAGCCAACAGTAAGGTTCTATGTTTGCAGCATTAGTCGAATCAAGCATCAAATGAACGTCTTGAGAATACACATTCATTCTGGGAGTCAACATGTGTGCCCTGGTTGCAATTGGTACTCGTTTATGTTAAAGCATATGGGAGCTGTGCTGTTTTGCAACAGCCACTCCTAACAACACATATCACCTCAGGACAACAAACGATGTCCAACACATCAACACATGTGCACAACCAACACCCACACACCTTCCATAATAACACACAGATCCCAAACCTCACGTTTCATCCTTCTTGTCATCGTCAATTCCTTCCCACCTCCGTTCTTGTCCCCCTCGTCCACCTCCTCTTCCTCCTCTGTTTCCTCCTCCTCCTCCTCATCCTCTTTCTCCTCATCTTCGTCGCGCTGCATTCCTCCTCCTCCTCATCCTCCTCCTCCTCCCTCCTCCTCCTCCTCCTCCTCCTCCTCCTCCTCCTCCTCGTCCTCGCCCTCGCCCTCCTCCTTCTCCTCCTCCTCCTCATCCTCCTCCTCCTCCTCCTCCTCATTCTCCTCCTCCTCCCCCTCCTCCTCCTCCTCCTCCTCCTCGTCCTCCTCCTCCTCCTAATAGTATTAACCTTCTTCATTGTTCTCTATGTTTCCTCCTCGTCTTTCTCTTTTTCCTCCTTCTCCTCCTGCTCCTACTTTTCCTCCTCCTCCTGCCCCTCCTCTCCCACCCACCCACGAGTTGGTCCCAGGAGGTCGAGCATGGTTCAAGATAGCCCCCGACAGACTTCAAAGAGGCTTCAAGACAGCCCCCAAAAAAACAAGACAGCTGAGCAAAGCCAAGGATAGCCTCCGACAGCTTCTAACTAACCGACCAGCGTGACTAGACGGGCTGGTGAAGATACGCGAAACGGCAAACGTTTGTGTGAATGTTTGAACATGCGCTCGATTGGGACATGGAGAGGGTGGCGGCGGCGGCGGCGGAGAGCAAGGCGACACGTTCGGCCGCCCTCTCCCCCCCCATGGGTTCGGAGGCTCCCCGAACCCCCCGAGGGCACGAAACGCTTCCATTGGAAGCGTCGCCCTCCGGGGTTTGGGGAATCCCGCGACCGCGAAAAAGAAGGCGGGGGCCGAACGGCTCGGCGGCGGCGGCGAGAAGCAAGGCGACTCGTTTGGCCGCGCTCCCCGAACCCACGGGGGCTCGAAACGCTTCCATCGCAAGCGTCGCCCCCTGGAGTTTGGAGAATATCGCGCCAGCAGGATGGGAGGCAGGGGCCGAACGACTCGGCGGCGGCGGGGAGGGCAAGGTGACTCGTTCGGTCACGCTCTCCCTCCCAAAGGAGTTCGGGGGCCCACCGGATCCCCGGAGGTGCGCGTCGCCCCCGGGGGTTGGGGGGGGGATCCCGCGCCCGCAAGGCAGGAGGCGGGAACCGAACGATGCGGCGGCGGCAGCGCGGGGCAGAGCGACCCGTTCGCCCCCCCCTTCTCCCCCCGCATGGCTTCGGGGGCTCGCCGGACCCCCAAAGGGGGCGAAGCGCGTCCATTGGAAGCGTGTCGCCCTCGGGGCCGGGAGAGCCCCGCGCCCGCGGGAGAGGAATGCGGGGGCCGAACACGGCTCGGCGGCGGCGGCGGGGGGGGAGGCGGCTTGTTCGGCCACCCTCTCCCTCTCCGCGCGGGTTGGGGAGCGCCCCGAACGACCCAGGGCACGAAACCTTCAGGAACAGGGATCCCGAGGAACCCCGCAGAGATCCTCGAGGAATCCTGCAGAAATCCTTCAGGAATCCTTCAGAAATCCTGAAGACATCCACCGCAACCCTTCAAAGAATCCACTGGAACCCCTTGAAAAACTCTTTTAGGAACCTTGAAAGATCCTTGCTGGAATCCTTCAGGAACGGACCCGCCTCTAGGTCCGCCAGGCCTCCGCAACGGTCCTGCACTTTCGCGCTGCCGCTCGCACACGAGCGTGGGTCTGCTTCTCGACCGAGCCAGCGCCCCAGAGGAGGTCGCCCAAGCGAAAGAGGCCCGAAAGCTACCCCCGAGAACGAGCAGCTCGCCCTTTCGGCCCACCTACCAGACTGCTCCGACCCGACCCGAAGACCCGAACTTCGGGCTGGCGGGGGGCACGTGTTCCACATGCGTTTTCCCATGTTCCCCGACGCCCACTTGGAATGGAGCGTTTTTGGGAGGCCTTCGATGACTACCTACCAGACCACCCCAACCCAACCCGAAGACCCGAATTTCGGGTTGGGGGGGTACGGGTTCCACATGTGTTTTTTCGATGTTTCCCGACACCCCCCCACTGGAAATCGAGGGTAAATCTGAGCCTTTAGGTTGGGTTGGGGTGGTTTGGTGGGTGGTGATTCGGGTTGGATTGGGATGAGTTGGCGGGTGGCGCCTTGCTCCCTCCAACGGCGTCTTTCCGCTGGTGCAGCCGCGCGCTGGTCTCTCCTGGGAGGGGGCCGCCCCTGGCGAGCCACCCGGGGGCGCTCCAGAGGTCCTGGGGCCGGGTGGGCAGACGCCAAGCCCGGCCAGAAGGACCGACTCGACGAGCAGAGCCAGCACGCGACGATTGGGGCCATTTTCCCTTTCTCGACAAGCGCGTTCCACGACTCGCAAAGTAGCTACTCGCAAGTGGCCTGGATCCGCCGCAGGGAACTCACGAAGACACGTTTTGTTTTCAAACATTTGCTAGTAGGCACTTTGCTAGAAGTGGAACGCACTCGGTGACTGTCTGACTCCACCCGGCACCTGTCCTCTTACGGGGGGCGGGGGGCTCACAGGGGCGGCCCATTTACCCTCGTCCTTGGGAGCACCATCCACGTCTTCAAAAACACAACAAAGCTGCTCTCGAGACGGGTGCCGACAGAATCCAACGCGTTCCGAGGACCAGCGCACTGAGCCATGGCAACAAGGGTGTGACAATTAGAGGCCTCCTGGATGGAGTCCGAGTGGATGGGGTCGGAAGATCGCGCCGCAGCGCCACTGCATCGCCAATGAATCCGCGATGCATCGGCGATACATCGGCGATACATCGGCGACGCCGGCGGTGTATTGGCCACAGCGGCGCGGAGATAATCGGGCTCCACATCGACCCGCATCGCCCATGCATCACCTCCGATCCCGTCTGCTCTGACCTATCTGAGCAGCCTCAATCAAAAGCACAAAGCTGCCCTGGGGACGGTCACTAACAGGACTCCGACGAGTCCCGAGGACCAGCGTTCTGAGTCATGGCTGGAGAAGCAAAGAATGGCACACAAATCTGCTTTCGGAGGTCCGCGCGGATTTCTTGGATCGGCGCTGGGCACCCCTCCCTGGCGCGCGGAGCGCGTCATGGTCGGCGCCCGAGGCACCGCCAGGGAGCTCCAACGCCGGGCCTGGAAATCCGCTCGGACATCCGAGAATTGATGCCCACGCCAATTTTGATCTTCTTAATGGCAACGGCAGCCTGCTACTGCAGCGCGCAATTGATGCGAACTGGCGCGCTTACACTCCGCTGCTTTTTGTTTCGCGTGGGTTTTCCGGGCCTTTCTTATTCTGCGTTCCTCTGCCGATGCGCCGTCTAGGCGCGGCCGCTCGCGTGTGACTGGCAACGATGGTGCGGCTGCCATCGCGATTCGAGAGCCATGTTGCGGGGGAAAGGCGGGAGGCTCGAGCTACAACTCTCTGTGCGAGCCTGGAAAAAATGGGGCGTTGTTCATATTCGGCCATCTTCGGGGGCTGGGGATGGGGAGGAATACGGCCATCTTCGGGTGCTGCCAGAGGTCGGCGGGCGACGAGGAGGGGCACATCCACATGTCATTGCTGCAGTCGGGTGCCCGGCCTCCTCCTCATCCTCCTCCTCATCCTCCTCCATCCTCCTCCTCCTCCTCCTCCTCCTCCTCCTCCTCCTCCTCCTCCTCCTCCTCCTCTTCCTCCTCCTCCTCCTCCTCCTCCTCTGGGCAACTCGCGAGACTGTCTGTTCGATGCCAGCCCTCGGTGGCCAGCGTTGGGGCACTCGTCCCGACGTCTTCCCAGGGTCGCAGTGGGCGGGACGTCGTATGCGCACGCGCGGCAAAAGGCGAGGAGGCGAGGAGCAGGAGGAGGAGGAGGAGGAGGAGAAGGAGCAGAAGGTGGGTAGGCAGGTAGGTAGGTAGGTAGGGAGGGAGGGAGGGAGGGAGGTAATTAGGTAGGTAGGTAGGTAGGCAGATGGGCAGATGGGTAGCTGGGTAGGTGGGTAGGTGGTTAGTTGGGTAGGTGGGTAGGTGGGTAGGGTAGGTGGGTAGGTGGGTAGGTTGGTAGATGGGTCG